CAGTATAACATCTTCAGAGGGAATCGCAGCCTTAGATATTATATTATTATTATCAAATTTATTGTATTAATAATAAGAAACTGACTAATATACAGCAAACATCTTCATGGGAATCATTGTTTATAACAAAAACATTAATTGATGTTTAATTCATTTCACTTAATTGTTCTTTTTTTAATAGGAACTTTAAACTGAAAATACATTTTAAAGGGTAATAATTTACAATCAGGGGAAAAATAGGCTTTTGTTAAAATAAACAAATAAATAAAAATATATATGTTGCTCGGCCTCCTTTTTATGCTTCAGCGTCTTGTGCTGTTCCAGATAATGGTAACATTTTTAAATGTGGATTCCTGCAGAAATAAACTGAAAAAGTAATAAACTCTTTGTGTTTCATTTTAAAAACACAAAGTACTTTAATTGAATTTATCTAAACACGCTTCTTGTTTGTTAAAAAGTGATTTAAAAAGGATTTTCCTGATTGCTTTAGAACAATTTTGAAAAAAGGTGCTCAGTTTTTCTCCCATAAATTAATACAGTGGCACAGATCTTTTTTTGTACCTTTTAACTAAATTATAAAAAGCTGTGGTTCATCACCTCATTCATACAATACAAAGATCTTTTTGTTAAACCTAAAGCACCTTTTCCCCTCATCGTGATCACTGTAAGTTATGAGGAGGGAGGACGGACATGCATTCATCAAACGACACCAAAGCTGCAGATTGAGGAAAATGTTTTATCTCTTGAAGGAACCTCCAGCTCATGGAGCTTCTCGTCACCACCACCGGTTCTGGTTCTGGTTCTGGTTCTGGTTCAGGTTCAGGAGCAGCAGCACCTGCAGACGCACAGTGAACAAAGCTGGTGGTAATAATTGTGCCATCTTTTCTTTAACTTATTTATTTTTTTGTTACTTGATTGTAAAGTTTTTAATTAACATTAAATAAATAGACGTTCGTATATTTATGCAGTTCCACACTTTAGCAACATGGGGTGCACAGATTGAGTTCACTTTCTTTGTCAACTCTTGCTGCAGTTGAATTTTGTCATTTGCAATGATCGAATGTGTTTGTTTGAGGATGCTGCTGAAGCTGTAAAAACCTCAGCTGCATCAGATCCAGAGATCTCAGACGAACTGGACCGCGTTGCAGCAGGGGGAGAGGTTGAATATTATATTTGAATTATCGTGTTTCCATTAAGGATTTGATATTGCAAACATTTTTTTCTGTCAATAAGTTACTATTCAACACTACTTCGATCCGTTGTTTCACTTTTTTGTGTCAGAATGACCTGCTCAGGTTTCCCTCTCATCTCAGTCACTGGATCATTTAGTGCTTTAGTTTTTTTTTTTTTAATGTTGGTACATTAGTTAAAAGTTTATCTTGACCTATTGGTTCAAAAGAGTTTTTTTTTTAAATAAATTGTAAAAACCTTTTTGTGCACATCTTCTGTCTCTCTTGCTGGTTTATGTGGACCCTGACAATTTGATTTAATACTGTACAGGTCCTCGTCTTCACCTGTTCTCTTTGTATTTCAAGTAACTCTTCCTCTTTGGTCGGGGTAATTACAATAAGCAGACATTAAAAAATAAATAAAATAAAAACTTTAGTGATGGTTTAGTTAATGCTACATGTTAATGTTTGATTTATTATTGCTTAAGGCCAAGATGGAGCGATCACGTTGTTGTTGTGACTCTGTGTGTGTGTGCGTGTGTTATTTTACATCCTTAACTGAACTTATGAAGCGGTGGTGCAGAGGTTAGAGATGGTGGGCCTGTGAGCAGAAGATCGCTGGTTCAACTCCCCAGACCGACAACATCAAAATGTGGGTGGAAAAGGTGAAGCACCCACACCTGTCCCTTCATTTGCCCCACTCTGTGCCCTTGAGCAAGGCCCTTAACCCCCACATTCTGCTCCCCTGGGTGCTCCCAGCTCCACACTGAGGGCTGCTGTAGCTCGGTGGTCTGTGGTTGTCAGGAAGGGCATCTGGCATAAAAACGATTGCTAAGTCTTCATGCGCCTAAGTTCTCTGTGGTGACCCCCGAAGAAGAGAGCAGCTGAAAAAAGAAGAACAAATAAAATATAACTGATGAACTTTTGGACTCAACCCAACTCAAGATGGCTACCACAGCCGGCTGACTTTAAATTAACACAATATGGAGTTAACTCTGTAAATGTTACATCTTCTGTGATTAGATTTAATGTGGTGGTTGCTGAGGGTCGTGCACAGTTCACACTCCGGTGGCGTCTCGCATGCATCATCTCACTAGTTAAACGTCTGGCCTCTAAGGTGGCGAGTGATGTGCACTCCTTTGAGGAATAATACAATTTAACATTAATCACTTTAAATCAATCTTCAGATAATCATTTCATCTGTTCCAGTCCAAACTCATTATTACAGCAGTATTACCAGTTTGATCATTAAAGAGATGATCAGTGTCTGACTGGTTGTTTTTTTTTATGTTAAATAAACACGTTAATTATATAAATCAAGTGTGACTTCACCTGTGGAGCTGGATATCTGTCCCTTCAGGCTCCTGTCAGCAGCGCTCTCTCTCTCTTTAGGATTCATTGGTCCCCACAGACTCCAGCAGCTTCCAACATATTGCACCATTCAGCTGGTACTTATGTGTCATCTGTTATCTATTGGACTGGTGTTTCTGAGGAGCATATGAATGATAATCAGGCCTTTGTGAGTCCTTAGAGGTGCAGTCTGTGATGTTGCCTCAGGGGGAGATTAGGGGGGGGGGGGGGCAGCCGGCCCTCTGTGTCACGTCGACAGTCACAGCGCCCATCCACGGCTGGGCCGAGCCCCACTGGGACCTTAAATCCTGTTACACTCTCAGCTAAAACCATCATTTGTATTAGAGATGTGTGGGTGTTTAAGTGTGTGTACACATTAAGTGTCTTAAACTATGAATTATTCATATCAGAAAAGAAAAAGGAGATATTGACTACATCTCCATAAACAGACTGCTCTCTTTATGCCACCGGGGCACGAGATCTTTGGGTGTAATTGTGTAAAAAAGCCCATGAAAATGTGCTTCACCAACAACACATGGTCAGTGTTATCGCCGGGGATAAAACTGAGTGATGGCAATTGTTCCAACTTAATATCTTATAAATAATTTACAATATGAGGGGCATTGCTCCCCCCCCCCCCCCCCCACTCCCCACTATATCAAACATTTCTGTTAAGAAGCTTTAGCTCACAGCTGTATGCTGAACGCACGAGTTAATCTACTTCATGCACCAACAATATATATATTTTCACAAGTGGTTGTAGATGATAGCTTTGAGATTGTGCAGAAATGCAATAAGAGCAGCCATTTTCCTCTATTTGTCTCAGTAACAAGTGATTATATGGAGAGGGAGGTGCTTTGCACTTCTAGCCGGCGCCTCCAGAGGGAGGTCAAAACTATTTGTCAGTCTCCAGTTGGGATTGCAAATTAGGATGAGCTTCTCTCCCCTGTGACGACCCACGAAACCTCTATTCCTATCCACGGGAGGACTGCTGTACATGATCTGAAAATTAGTGCCTTTGATAGCATCTTCATGTTGAGCAGTGGGCCGCAGGCTGCCCCCACACAGACCATGGATCCGCTGAGATTCGAACCACTTCTGACACAGAGCGCGTTTTATTTGTGTTTCACACTCTGACTGAGAGGGAGGAACGCAAATGGTTTGTTTGCAAGCCATTAAATCTTTTATTTTTACTCCGAACAGGAAGATTATGGGGACACAGCAGGTTTTTGTCCCGATGATTGAGCCTCCTGAAAAAGGTTCAACTGCTCTTAATTTGTTCCAAATGGCGCAATAACAGGTGCGGGGTTTGTTAAAGATTGTTGGCACAATAAGGACATCAGTCCTCTTCAATGAGCAGAAGACATATCAATATAACAGCAGAGGTATTTTTATTAGAGGACTATTTTATATTTGCTAATACATATTATAAAATTGTAGTTGCGGGGGCTGTTTTTGTTGTTGCGTAAAGAAGTCGTTCTAAAGGGGAGAAGCTAAATCAAACTCCACTATTTACTCCCAATTCCAGACTCCGCTCTCTTTGAAGATATTGTCCAAAAAAGACCTAAAGTGAAAGAAAATGTTTTCCTATTACTTAATTCAATCGGAGCGCGCGAGGCGGGGGCTTTTACGCGCAGCGCGCAGGGCTCCTCCATGACAGAGCCGCCTTTGTTGCGTCTATCCGCCGCTGTCACACACTTTAATTCGACTCTCTTTCTCCCTCATTCAAAGCTCTCCACAATGACATTCAATAAGGGCCGCAGAGTGAAAACCTGGTTATTTTTTACATATTCTCTCCCCCCTCCTTTCCACTCGGCAGGGGCCCGAGCAAAGGAATTAATCACTGCTCTTTAACAGCGCTGCCTCCAGGCGATGACTTGTCCCTGTTTTTGTGCCCAGAAATGACACATTAACCTTAAAATGGATCAACTTTACATTCAGCTGTTGCGCTTGTGTTTAGCGCTGTCACTGACGGAGGCGCACAAGTTGGACTCATCCTAAACAAGTCAAAACACGAGGAGGGGTTTGTTTCGTGGAGAAAAATCTCACCTTGAGGTAAAAAATCATTAAATTCAGACAAGTTCAAGCCACGAGTCCCAAACAAGTGATGTGGAAAACAGAGCTCCCGTTATGAACTTCATGAAGTTCTCACTCTGACTGATATTTAAGACAAAAAAAAATGAACTTTCCAAATGTTTTCCCCCGCAGATTTTAAGCTGAGATAAAATGAGAGTGATGATAAAAGGGAGAATGGGCAGTGCCGCCTCTTTCAGCGTGGGTGGGGCCGACAAGAATAGACTACATTATGCAGTTCATTTAGTTAACAAGTGAAATAATGGGGAAGCGTGCAGTGGGAATGCCTGGAGAAAGGCACAAAACCCTATTGAGAGCTCTTGGCCGCTTGCAGCGTAACCGTCACATGGCCGAACCGAGCCCAGCGCACGACTATTTAAAGGCGCGGCTCTGTGCGCCTTCAGCACCACTTCGCTGTCCACCGTCCCCAGGAAGGAGCGCGCACTGACGCAACACGCAGCAGCAACAAGTCCGCCAACATGCCGAGGTCTTTTCTCGTGGATTCCTTGATTTTAAGGGAGGCCAACGACAAAGGGAGCGAGAACAACCCTCCTCTGTTCCCCTACGCCGTGCACTCGCCGCACCATCCGCACGCGCTGCCGGGCTCGTGCCACTCGCGGAAAGCCGGGCTGCTGTGCTTCTGCCCACTGTGCATGGCCGCGTCCCAGCTCCATCCGTCCCCACCCACCCTGCCGCTCCTCAAGGCGTCCTTCCCCCCCTTCAGCTCGCAGTACTGCCACTCGGCTCTGTCCAGGCAGCACTCTGCGTCCAGCGGGATCAGCCTGAGCCACGGAGCCGGGATCTACCCGGCTGCGTACTCGGTCCCAGACCCGCGGCAGTTCCACTGCATCTCCATCGGTGAGTAAAAACGCGCGTGAACCGAAAACATCAATGTTTTGTTTTGTTTTTTCTCCCCCCTCCTGACACTGTGTCACTTTTATTTCACTAAACAGAAAGCAGCAGCAACAAACTTCAGAGCAGCAAGCGCATGCGCACCGCCTTCACCAGCACGCAACTCCTGGAGCTGGAGCGCGAGTTCACCTCCAACATGTACCTGTCCAGACTGAGGCGCATCGAGATCGCCACGTACCTGAACCTGTCGGAGAAACAGGTGAAGATCTGGTTCCAGAACCGCAGGGTGAAGCACAAAAAGGAGGGGAAGAGCGGCGGCGGCCAGAGGACTGCGTCACACAGCTGCAAATGTTCCTCCTTGTCGGCCGCCAGGTGCTCGGAGGAGGAGGACGACGACACCCCCGCGTCTCCGTCCTCATCCGTGAAGGAGGACGTGGACCTGTCCGTCTCCCCCTGAACTGTCTCTCTTCTCTAAAACATTTTCATCCTGATGGTGCCAAAAAGATGGAGGGGACTGATGTGACTGTTTGTACATAAACAGATATTTAATCAGGGAGCTCCCCTGACTTATTGTATAGTGTATACACGTTGTACGTTTTGTATGTAGTTTTTTTCTGAAAACGGTCCTTTGTTGTTGCCTATCCGGTCAGTGTGGAAGGCAGATTTGTAAAGAACCCCCCAAACAATAGCAACACTGTTGGTTAGGATATTTGGGGGATACAAATATTTTTTACTGTGAACAACTGGTTGGATTTTGTGGATCTAAACGAATCCTCCACTGTCACGTGACTGAAACCGCTCTGAAATTATATCTTCAGTGTAATTGAAAGATATTTATTTATTTAAAAATGTTAAATAAAAAATAGTTCTGAGTCGTATAGCCGTGTGACCTTCATGTGGGGATTTTTGCGCGCAGAGGCACGTTCAGGTCAAAGTTTTGTGGGTTTGGATACTAAATTTGAGCAAAATAGTTGGATTTGAATGGAAAACAAACGCACTTTTACACATACTGTGTGATGGAATTTGTAAAAGAAAAAAAAAGAAACATGAATTATTTTTGCACATTTTTATTGGTTGTGTTCGGAAACGCGCGACTTTTCCGTGTCTCGTTTTCCTTTTCAGACACTTCAGGTTCACTTTCAGGCCAAACTAAATAAAAAAATGTTTATTTTATTCTCATATAAAGATTAAAATGCAGCACTTCTGACAAGTGCAGGCTCCAAACATATAGATATGTACATTTCTGTGCAGTTTTCCCAAACTGCCGCGCGCATCCAACAGGAGCGTAAAACGGTCTTGTATCTCCAAGAAGATTTGAACTAATAAATAAAATTTTATATAATCTCGACCACATGGAAACGACAAAAGGTTTTGATGTGAGGGTCTTCTTGCGCTTTTCCCGGGGGAGAATCAGCTCACATCTCTCTGCCCCTGGCCTCTTCATGAGCTCTTTTCAAGCACCAGCTGAAATGATCTGTCTCGTGTGACCGAGTTAATAATAATCTGTCAGTGTATAATGATGCGCCGGGAGTGCAGATCTTAAGATATCGATCTGACATGAAAATAAATGAGCGAACAACACAGTTTGGTGTCCATGACCCACATTGTTCCTCCATTGTCAGCGCAGCAGTTCATTGTTGGTTTTATGAGCTCCACGGGCCTTTATTTAGCACTTATACAAACATACTCATCTCCAGTGATGTTGTTTTTTGGGGGGATTAACAAGATATAAATGTATATTTTAGCCTGTACTTATTGTTTAACTAAATATTTTTAAACCGTTATTAATATAATAAGCTGTGCCAAATCTAAAAACACACAATCGTCATGTTTTAATACTTGAAAAAATATATAAAATGCTAATTATTAATAAAACAAAAATAATTATAAAACTATCAAAAATATGTCACTTGTTTACTACAATGTATACGATGTAAACAAAACCTGCACGTCCTGCACGTTGAGTTGGAGTGTTTTACGCACGGCTGCAGGCGCTCTGTGGCTGGAGCTTTGGTTGATAAAACTATATTTATTATGAAAAATAGGCTTTAAATTATTTTAGCCTCCGTGCAAACGTAACTCCAACTTTTGTAAAGGGAGGGAAATGTCTTTTAAACTGCGCAGAGAGCCTTGTCTGAGTGAGCGTGCCTTCGTGGATGGGCAGTTTTCGGCAGCAAACTTTCATTTAATTGTTCACTTAAACATTTTTAACAAAACTCTAATATTTGCATTTGTTAAGATATGGGATTAGACTATTTTTTTAATTGCACCACAGAGCCCCTTTTTGCTCACAACGTCCTCTGCAAAGCGCCCCTTTATCCATTCAATAGCCCGGGGGTATGCGCCCTGGGGGAGCTTATACGCTTTCTGTTTCCAAATGCTCAATTTATTTATTCTTAATTTTGTGCCGATCAATTCATTGAAGCAAAAAGGACCACGGTGTCTTTTTGAAAAAGAAGAAAAGGGGAATTGTGGACGTAACCTTGACAGAGCTGAGAGGAGAGGGCTCCCCTGACGCTGGAGAGCCGCTTGAGTCAACAGGCGCCCATCTAGCAGACTCGCCCTTGTCTTTATTCCGGCTAATTTTTTATTTACGGCTTTTCTTTGACATGTCTCTTATCTATCAGATTAAAAGAACAGCTTGTAACAAATCAGTCTGCACGATTTACAACAGCATTAAAAGGGGACAAAGGGAGCAGGCAGTCAGTACCTGAGAGTCTGGTAGACGGCGCGGCGCTGCAGCTGATTCGATGGTTTGAAAATACGCACGAAACAAAATACTTGAATCCTTAAAAAGAGCCTTTGTACGTTTCTTTAGAAATCAAGCAATTCTGCATGACAAAGGACAATTAATAAGCCGTCTTTTCACGACCAGCAGCTGGTTTCCCCGTCAAGGAAAGTTGGAAAAAATTCAGGCTGAATGCGCGCAAAAGCCCCTTTGCGCGCAGACAGCAACCCAAGGTGACCCATTTGGCACAGTTAAAATAACCAAGCCGGAGTAAAAGCGAGGGAACTGTCAAAAACATTTAAGCTGAAATATCTTGAAATTGCAAATCCCTTTATGTGGAGGGACGCTGCTGATGTGGGTTAGTGGTACAAAGGAGGTGGTTAAGTTGGAGAGGCTTTGGAAACGGACACGTGGCTTCTCAATGAGAGCTCTTTGGACCCGCGTGGCTTGCTGCACATTCAGCTACTTTAAAACTTATCCAGCTGGAATAAAAGTGAGTGGTAAAACTTAACAAGTCGAGCAACAAACTTTAACAAAACATTTGATAAACTTAAAAAAAAAAAATAGAATGTGTTTATTTATCTTGAAAGGAGGGAAAGGGGGAGCTGGCTCAGACTCACAGCCTGGCTTGGAAATTCAGTCCTTTTTTATTTTATACAAGAATTATGTTTGTTGTTTTAGCTAGATTTAAAAAAGAATAAATTTTATTGTGACATAAAATATATATATAAACATTTTTGTGTTTTTGTCTTATTTTTATATTTCTTCAAAGCTGCTTTCTGCACTTTAATCTGTCTTTATAAATGAGTTTTCTGCAGTAAACACGTAAAGAAAATCATGTTTTGAAGTTTATAAGAGACAAAAATAAAACTGAATTTTGCTTTAATTTCTGGAATCCTGCCAAATGACTCCTGCCGGGGTGCGCATGCAGGCCAGCTTCAAATGGCCAGCTCGGCTTGGCTCAACAGACTGGAAACAGTTTAAATTCTATAAACAGGTTGTTAGAAACACGCAGCAGCGGCCTGGCTGCTCCTGGAAGCTGTTTATTGTTGAGGACAAAGTGTTGAAGTGGCCGCGGGGACGGAAGCAGCTCGCCGTCAGCGCCTTGAACTCCGGCTGTTTTCTGCTGCAACATTTGAACCCACTCAGCTGTAAATAATCTGTTTAACAGCTAATCAGTGGTTTAAGATGAAGGACTGGCACGCAGCTTCACTTTCCCCCAAGTCCCCCCGTCTCTAATTGAATATTCAACGCGCGCACTGCGCCCTGCTTGCCTTTTTCAGGGGAGCTGCAGAATCCGCCTTTTTAATTCTCGGCCCCATACAAGGCGGTGTCAAAGGTCCACAAATAATGAACTGCGCAGACATGTGGAAGAGCTGCTTGTGCCGGGATGGGAATGTAGCTCAGGATGTGATGAGTGGCACAAACTAAAACAGATTCTCTTCGCCTTTGTGTGATTGCAACTTTTGGAATAATTGCAACAAAATTAAGGAAAGGTGCACTAAAGATGGAAACAGGCTGCAGGTGCTTAAGAGACTATCAATTTAAAAACAAAACAATTAAACATTTGGCTTGTGTGTCCTGCACTTTTCTGGAGTAAATAGCATAAAAAACTGTTGTTAATAAGTGAGAACTTTGAGCTTGGAATAAAAAGATGAGAGTAAATGAAGCAAGAAGCTGCAGCCTGAACAGCTGCAGTTTGCAGCGTCCTCACCTCTGCCTGCAGCTCCACACCAGCTTGGCTCCTTCCTCTGTGCGGAGATGGAGCGTCTCCTGCTGGCAAACACGAGACAGGAGGGCCACGTGAAGCTCACAGGATGACAAACAAAAAGAAAAAAGGTTGAAAGAGCATTCAGAGGGAAACTGGCTCAGTGTTTCTGTAAAAACAAAGTGCTGCTGATTGGAACAAGCAGCCACAACTCAAGCAACTGGGTCCCGACTCACATTCAATTAAGGGCCCCATCAATCTTAGGGGGGCCCTGAAATCCCCCCTCATTCAGCCCAGCACCACAGTCCAACAAGCTCCGGCTGTTTTGTGAAAGAAAGGTGTGGAAAAATAAAAGGGACGCCCTAATTTAAACCAGAAATCTCTGCAGACGTCTTGAAATGCAGCGAATCGTTCATTAGGAAAACTTTTCACAGACGGACCGGACCGACACACGACAGACAGTATTTAGTTGTGTAGCTGCTATTTTTGTTTGTTTGTTCCAGCAAACTGGTTGGTCCATAAGGAGTGCTAAACAGTTTACTGGAACTCCTCCGATTGATGAAGTCCTCTGGATAGAGGGCGAAACATCTCTATAAAAAAGAAACTGTCCAGATGACCTGACTGAGAATTATTGGATCTGTTTGTTGTGTTTTGGCTAAAGTGCCATAAAGAGAAAAAGCTCTTTTTTTATGGGGTTTTCTCTGATTATTTTTTTCAAAGCTTGTTTTTATGGGTTCATTTAACTTAAAAGTCACACGTTTTATCTGAAATGAACTTTTACTTTGAGTCCAAGTGAAACAACTAAGTTTAATGCAGCTTTAGTAAGTCTGACGTCATGATGTAAACTTCACCCGAGACAGCTCCTACTCTGTTTGGTGTCCATGATGTTTGGTGTCCATGATGTTTGGTGTCCATGATGTTTGGTGTCTATGATGTTTGGTGTCCATGATGTTTGGTGTCCATGATGTTTGGTGTC